AGATGGGCCGTCGCCCTGCACAGCACTTCTCTCTCGCACTCCCTCCTGTGGGCTCCGTGCGAGAGAGACGGAGCGACGGCACGCTGTGCGGAATGAGTCTGCCTTCTTTGCCGTCGCCCTATCGGAACTCTCGTGACGTCCTTCCGTCCTTCCGCCCCGGCGGGAAAATTCCGCCGCCTAGAGGGGACGTGGCACAGTGGGCCAGAAGGCCGGTAAAGGCGGCCTAAACTCTTGACGCGTTTTGAGCTCCAGAGTCGCAAAGCAGGACTCGCACCAAACGTGTGACCCCACCAATGGATTCCTCGTTCGGAGAGCAGTCCATTGGTGGGATCACACGCTCGATTCGAGTCCTGCTTAGTGACTCTGGAGCTCAAAACGCGTCTGGAGTTTTGGCCGCCTCCACCGGTCTTCTGGCCCACTGTGCGTGGTGTGTGCGTGTGTGTGTGCGTGTGCCGGCGTCGTCCTGGCGCCAGGTGTGCGGTCGCGCGGCCCCGGACAGGGCTGCGTTCGCGTCGAGGCCAAGCATGGCACGAGGCAGGCCGCGCAGCATGCGTGGAGCAGGCCTCCCAGGCCCAGGCCCTGGCGGGAGGGACTCAACAGGTCCCCGTGACGTCACCGTCCGGGTGGGGCGCTGGGCGGGGCGCCGGTCCAGCGGGTCAAAGGGGCGACGCGACGCGACGCGCAGCGCGGCGAGGGCGGCGGGCCGCAGCGGGGCGGCCTAGAGTTTTCTTCCCTTGACTCAAGCTCTAAAAATACGGCGCGCCAATTCTAAATGTGTTCCGACTGAGGGCGGCCGAGTGCCGCGGACTTGGGCGTGGCGGAGGTGCGCCCTGCTCTCGGTCCTGTACACTCACAGCGAGCAGTTGCCCCGTCGCGCTGTCTCTCTCGCACCTCTACGGGGTACCCCGCGAGCGCAAGAGAGACAGAGCGACGGAAACGACTCTCGGGATCAGCCGATCAGCCTGCTGCCTGACGGGTAGGCAATCTGCAAGGCACGCCCCCCTTAAGCACAGGGGCGTGTTATGGCGAGGGCCGCCATAGACCCCAAACCTCTCATTTCGCGGCTGAGTTCGGCGCCAAGCCCATGGAAAGTCAAAAGTTGGGCAATTTACCTCCAGAAAGGAGCAACCACCCTTCGCCTGAAAAGAGCGGCCGGACACGCCCCAGTGTACTGTACAGTGTACTACGCGGGCAACAAGCGTGGAACCGCCCCCCACGCCCCATGGCGCTTAAGGACCCGAAGGACCCGAAGGACCCGAAGGACCCGAAGGGCCGACCGCCCCGCCCCGCCCTCGCCCTCGCCGGCGCCGGCGCCCCGCGTCCTCGGCAACGGCCGGCTGGCCCGACTGGCCCGGCCGCCGGCCGGCCCGACCGCACCGGCCGCGACCGCCACGATAAAACCAGATGTTCAAGTTCAAGTTGAGGCAGCCCTGGGGATTCCCGAATTTTCCGCGGCGGTCTCTGAATAACCGGTCCTTCCTGCCCGTTCCTGCCTTCGGTCCGCCCCGCTCACGTATACACACTCACGCACACTAACATGGACGCGCGCGCGCACACACACACACACACACACACACACACACACACACATCACACACACACACATACACACACACACACACACACACCGCGCGCGCGCGCGCGTGTGGTGGCCGGCCGCAGGATGCTGCAATGGTTAGCTCTGCCACCTTGAATGAAGCTGCGTGCGCTCGTCGCGCTCGTGAAACGAAAACATTAAAGTGGCATACTGACCGCGGTGCGGCGTGGCGCGGCGTGGCACCGCACTGTACCACAGACAGGGAGACAAGGCGTCGCGTCGCGCCGCTACCGACTTGTCGGCCGCGATGCCCGCGTTACCGGCCCTCTCGCTACCAGACGGCTGTTTTGTCTAGTGCTACTGAACGAGGCGCGTGGAGCGTGCGAGAGAGACGGAGCGACGGAACGGCGTTCGCAACCAGCCTGAACGGAGACAGTGTCGCCTCCCGTCAACGTCACTCACTCCGAGAGGTCGTTCTCGTCGCCCTGTCTCTCTCGCACTCATTGGGGTATCCCTTGCAGGTGCGAGAGAGACAGAGCGACGAAAAAGACTCTCGGAATCAGTCTGCGGAATTGGCCGTGTGCGCACTTCGCTGGTTTGAGACTGGGGTAACAAGCTGGCGGGCCGCTCCTCCATCTCCTCCTGCAGCTGATTAATTTCTCCGCTCTGACCCACTTGTCCTTATCTCGGCCTGCCTGGGCCGGCCCCGCTTGCTGGGTTGGGTTGACGGTGCAGGCGACTTTGGGGAAAGGATCGCCTCCCCGCCCCCATGGGAGGCTACTCGGCCAGCTCCGAGAGTCGTTTTCGTCGCTCTGTCTCTCTCGCACCTACACGGGACGCCCCATGAGTGCGAGAGAGACAGAGCGACGGAAAGGACTGGCTCGCAACACGCCGTCGCGTGCCGTTCCCACGAACCACCACGCCACCTGTCGCCAGCCCCGCCGGCTCTCTCGCACCCCTGCGGACCCTGCGGGTGCGGGTCGCCCCACGAGTGCGAGAGAGACAGGGCGACGAGGAGTTCGGAGTCAACCTGCTGCCCGGCACACTGCCCGGCCGCCGCGGCGGGGCGCCAACCCTGCCACCCTTATCACCGCAGTGACAGATAGATAGATAGACAAGCGCGGTGGTGGTGGCGGACTCCGCGCGTCTCTCTCGCACTCGTGGGGCGCTCCGTGTGGGGGTGAGAGAGAGCGAGAGACAAAACGCGGCCCGGAATCCGTCCGCCGGCGGCGCCACGCGGAGATGGGCGCCGGAAGATAAATCACATCGCCGAGGAGTCAATCGAGTGCCCCGTCATGTACGCGTCCTGAGGCAGGCCGAGAACCCCGCCATCGCATCGATCCGGTGCCTTCGAACCTCCAACCAGCCAGCAGACTGATTCCGGGAGTCGTTCTCGTCGCTCTGCCTCCCTCGCACTCACGTGGCGTTCGGTACAGGTGCAAGAGAGACAGAGCGACGAAAACGACTCTCGGAATCAGTCTGCAGGGTCCGAAGGGTTGTTTCGTCGCTCTGTCTCTCTCGCACGCCTACGCGACGCCCCGTGAGTGCGAGAGAGACACCGGAGGAATGGAGCGGGTTCATCAGCTGACTGGCGGGTCACTCCGGCCATGGCGACCGGGGGGCGGGCGCGCGGGAGGCTTGCGCCGCTCTGCGCCGCTCTGCGCGTGGCGGACGTGGCGGAGGAGGAAGGCGGCGGAGGTCGCTGGCCCCGGTAGGTGCAAGTCGCACCGCGCAAATGGGGTAGAGCGGAGCAGCAGGACTAGCGCGTGGGGGTGGCCGGGGGCGGTGGCCGGGGGCGGTGGCCGGGGGCGCCGGCCGGCAGCAGCACCGCGAACACCGGGAGCACCAACCCGGAGGACTTTGAGCGCGGCTGACTCCAAGCGCCGTCTCTCTCGCTCCCTTACGGACTGCCCCACAAGTGCGAGAGAGACAGAGCGATGAGAGCAGTGCCCCGGAATCTGCCCGCTGGACCACGAGTTAGTCGCTACCGACTTCGACTTCGGCCCTTCCGCCCACAACTGCTCGGCTCCGATACCGCCAGAGTGCCGTCGCGTCGCTCACGCGGAAAATGTCGAAGTGGTCGCGTAATCTATCAAAGGCCTTTCTTTCCGCTATTTTTGCCGCGCCGGGGGGACAGAAGCAGCGAGCCCGGCGCGTGAATCACCCCAACGACAGTGGCGGCGCTGTCCCTCTCGCACCACTACGCCCACTGCGGGGCGCGGCATGGGCGAGACGGAGCGACGAAGCGCTGTTCGAGATCGGGTCGCTGCCATTAGCGGGCACCGGGGCCAGCGAAAGGTTGCGTGGATCGTCGCCGTCGGCCACCCGCGGCCAACCCGCGGTATGGCCCCGCCGCCGCGCCGTCGGCACGCACTGTGTGACGTGTACGTCGCCGACGGTCGCCGAACAGCCCAGCCCGCCCCAGCCGGGCCGACCCGGCGCGGCACGGTGCCATCTCAGCCCGAAATCTGTCGAAACGCGCGCTGCCGTTCGGTCGTTCTGCCGCCGTCGGCGCGTTCCAAAACAGGGACCGCGCTTAAGTGAGCAACGCCTCGCCTTTTGTTTACGCGAACGGAGGCGCACTCACTTCCTGCACTGTGAGGCTAGGCCAGGGCCGCCGGGGTCACGGAAGGAAGGAGAGGGTGGGGACGCGACGCCGCAGCGGCTTTAAGGACGGGCCCCGCGGTGTGCATGTCACGTCGCGCGTCGCGGAGCACGGCAAATACTGCATGCCGCGCCTCGGGGCTGAAGTGTCTCGCAGACAGGCACACATACAGCGGCAGACACGCGCGCGCGCGCGCGCACACACACACACACACACACACACACACACACACAACCACACACGCCTGCTGTCATCATAGTGGAAAAGAATCGACAGATCTGATACGGCGGCCTGGCTGGCCATGACAGAGCCGACCGCTCTTTTGACAGGAGAAGTTCAATGTCAACGCGTCGTGCCGCAGTTCGCGGACCGCGGACCGCGCCGGGCACTATCGCCTCGCGCTGCTGACGCCGCCGCTATCGCCACGCGTTGACAGGTCAACACGGAGACTCCCCCGGTCATGTACGGCATGCTCCCGGCGTTGACAGGTCAACACGAAGACTCCCCCGCCCGTGCATGGCATGCCGCCGGCCAGGGGCGTTCTCTCGTGGGCGTCGCCGGCCCGGCGCCCTACGCCCACAAGCAGGCCGTCGGCGGGGTGCTGCACCGGGCCGCGTGGGGTAACGGGGACTTCCCCGGGCCTCGGCGCGGTCGCCTCTGGGTTTGCTTTGGCAAAGACGCACGGCGCCGGGATGCGCGAAGCTACTCTAGGCGACGCGGCTGCTTTTGGAGGCAGATGCAAATCCCTACCCGGCCGACCCGCACGGCCGCGGCGGCCAAGGCGGCGGCGGCGGTCGGCGTACCGGTACACCGCCCCGCGCTCGCTCCGTATCACTCCACTCCGCCGACTCGACTTACCTCAGGCATGGCGGCGGCGGGAAGTCGTCAGGTACTCCAAAAGACGCGGACTTGCGGCGTAATCCTGCTCTGCCGAGTTCACTGGGCCTCTCCCTCAATTGCACTAGAGGCACCGCGCGGTGCCCGTCGGGCTGTTCGTCACAAGTACTCGGAGCAGGAGACGAATACGGACATGATGGTCACCGGCACGTGGCGGACGCGCACCCCACCGCCTCGGCCGCCTCGGTGGAGCGCGGAGGGAAGTCCAAGGGCGTGTCAAAGACGGCGTCAAAGACGGAGGCGCCGGCTTCGCTGGCGATTCGCTGGCGACCGCGGCGTCCTGGCTGCCTCGCAGAGGCCTGCGTCACGTCGCGAGTCGCGGTGTGGTTCGGCTCGCAGCGAGCGTCGCGGGCGGTGTGGCGGTGTGTTCGCGTTCGCGGCGTTCGCGGCGAGGCGAGGCGGCGCTCCGAGCCCGGCCGACACCCCGGCCCGGCGCGGCTCGGCGCTGCGCGAGGGCCTTCGGCTCGGCTCGGCTCGCGCTCGGGCTCGGCTCGGATCGGCCGCCACCGCCGCCGCCGCTGTCGTCTGCAACAGGACACGGTCGCTACCGCCGCCGCCGCCGCTGCCACCGCCACCGTAGGGCCGTAGCGTGCCGGCAACCCGGCAGATAGCGCGCGCGACACACACACACACACACACGCGCACACGCACACACACACGCACACACACACACACTCACAGAGACACGCGCACAAACGCGACGCCGGCCCCACCTCTGCGCATGCGCACGGCGCGTGAGGTCGCTACTCGCGGCACCTGTGTGTTTCTCTCTCGCACTTGAACAGGTTGTCTCTGTTCGCGTACACTAATAAATACACGCACACACACACACACTACAAACCTAAGTGTCTACTAAGTACACACTTACAAATGCATGCTTGCAAGTACACACTTACAAACGCATGCTTGCCAGTACACACTTACAAACGCATGCTTGCAAGTACACACTTACAACGCATGCTTGACGCATGGAGTTATACGGGGTCAAGCATGCGCTTGTAAGTGTGTACTTGCAAGCATGCATTTGTAAGTGTGTACTTAGTAGACAGTTAGGTTTGTAGTGCATGCACGCGGATTGACGTAAGGGGAGGAAGGGTTTGCCCAGCAGCAGTGCCTGCTTTGACCTCCTCTGCGGTGTCATTTCGAACAGCGGCAGAGCGTCTCTCTCACACTCACACCGGCGTCCCGTTGGAGTGCGAGAGGGACAGAGCGGTTTTCGGACTCGCCCTGCCGGTGATTAAATCGCCCACCCCTTCCTGCCGCCCCTGCCGGGTACCACCACACTGCCACCACCCGACGGCCAGCGGCGGCCAGCGGCCTGCTGGAGATAAGGGTTGCGGTTTCGCGTGTGCGAAGCGCCTTGATGAGGGGCCGTCCGTAACCGAGTGTGTGTGTGTGTGTGTGCGCGCGTGTGTGTGCGTGTGTGTGTTGTATTTTAAAGCCTCGCGTGGAATGGGCGGGCCGGCGGGTCGACGACGAGGAAGAGAATATAATTGCCCTCGAGACACCTCTAGCGACTCCCACCCGCGCGGGGGACCGACAGTTGGTCATCAGAAAACCGGTGGAGAGGCCAAAACTTTCGGTTTTTAGTTCCACAGACGCTGAAAAGGATTCGGACTGAACGTGTGACCCCACCAATGGATTCCCCGTTCGGAGAGCTATCCATTGGTGGGGTCACACGCTCGCCCATTTAGCGACTCTGGAGCTCAAACGCGTCCGAGATTTAGATTGCCGCCACCGGTCCTCTGACCCACTGTGCGACGGACAACACTGTAAGGCCGAGGGAGAAACTGAAACGCGACCGCGGTGTGCCAGTGTGCCGCCAGTGTGCCGCCCCGCCCGGCCCCGCCCGCTCACTTGGCGAAGCGTTTTGTTCCCAATCGATACATCGACTGAGCGGCACCGCGGCACCGCCACCGTGTTAACCCACACCGGGCGTTTATTTTGGCAGCGCGGCTGCATCGCGTGCGTACACTGTACGCCGTCCGTACGCCTCTGGAGGCCGACGACAACAACAACAATAACGACAACGGAACGCAGCAGGGAGGAAAACGAGATAAAAAGTGGGTCGGTTTATCGGAATTGCGGCCGCACGATTTTGGGCCGGAGTCAAACCGCAGAGCATTTTAAATTCCAAACAGCGCATCTCTCTGTCACTCAAAGGGCGTTGCGTAGGGGTACGACACAGGCAAAGTATAGCGGCGTGGTCTGTGTGAGTCCGCGAATCGCGGCACCAGCATCGCCCGCCGCGCGCGCCGACTTGATCGCAGCGCTTTGCACCTGTGAAACGTCTGCTGCCACCACCGCCCCGCCCCGCTCGGTGCGCTGCTTGTCTATCGTCCTGCATTGAACCAAAGGAACCAGTTCTCACCGGTTCGGGCAACCTCTTCTCCTCCGTGGTCGCTCTTTGGCTGCCTTATCCCGTGGAGCCGTCCGTCCCGTCCAGCCACTGTAAGTGCAGCCCTCATCCCCGGGCCCCGGCGGGCCGTCGCGCCGTACAGTAGCAGCAGACTGACTCCGAGAGTCGTTCTCGTCGCTCTCTCTCGCACCTGTCTGGGTCGCCCCTCGAGTGCGAGAGAGACAGAGCGACGAAAACGACTCTCGGAGTCAGTCTGCTGGGCAGCCGCTGGCCTCGCCGCCTCGTCGGCTCGACCTCCGACAACGCCACGCGGCCCGGGTTCAACGGTTCAACCCCCGCGGCCGCCGGCACTTTTCTTCCCGTTGACGCGATGCCACTTGCTCTGCTCTTCCTCTCTGCGTTCGCGGACTTCGCGGACGCCACGCCGAGCGTTTGCGGCCGGCCGGCGCCCGACACCGAACTGGGCTCCGTCGCTCTGTCTCTCTCGCACGCCCGCGGCACGCCCCACGAGAGCGAGCGAGACAGAGCGACAAAGCGCTGCTCGGGATCAGGCCGCTGTGTCCGGACCGGTCCGGACCGACGACGTCTGCTTGCCCCCTCCTCCTCCTTCTTCTCCTCCACGTGGTGGACGTGGTGGGGCTCCCATGCCGAGTCAACGTGATCCGGGGAAACGGATGGAGGTGCCGTCCTGTCCGGCCGATGCAGCGACGCAGCGCGCCGCGCGCCAACAGACCGACAAAGTGTTGCAGTAATGCTGCACTGTAATGGCATGGGTGCCTCTCGTGGCGGTTCGCAATCATTCACTCACTCAGACCGACGGACGGACAGACAGACAGACAGACGGACGGACACAGACAGACAGACAGACAGACAGACAGACAGACAGACAGACAGACAGACAGACAGACAGACAGACAGACAGACAGACAGACAGACAGACAGACAGACAGACAGACAGACAGACAGACAGACAGACACATACAGACACATACACACAGTGACCATTGTCACGGGGACATCTGGACGCACGTATAAACGCATCTGCCTACCGGCAGGCGCCGCACCGGCACAGCAGACTGATACCGAGAGTCGTTTTCGTCGCTCTGTCTCTCTCGCGGCTACAGGGGACGCCTCATGGGTGCGAGGGAGACGGAGCGACGACAACGACTCTCGGAATCAGTCTGATGGCACCACACTGGCACTACTGCCCTGAAGCCCCGCGCGGCCGTGCCCTGGCCGTGCCGCCCAGCGTGCCTAGCGCAGTGGTTCTCAACCTTAGGGTCGCGACCCCAAGTGGGGTCGCGAAAAAATTTTAAGGGGTCGCGGCGAGGTAGCTGGGGTCGTGTTTTGGGCCGATTTTAAGCAGCCACTGCGTCTGATCCGAGGCGGGCATTTTGCTCCCTCAACGGGCAATTGGTCTTTGAACCTTCCTTTAGCATGCCTTTGTTACGGAGTGTGATTATCAGTCTTAGTTTGGGAGCAGTATTGTCTCAAAGTTTACCAAAACGGTCAGAAATGTCTTTGAAAAATCGTGTTTTGGGCCGATTTTAAGCAGCCACTGCGTCTGACCCGAGGCGGTATTTCGTCCTCCTGCAACGGGCAATTGGTCTTTGGACCTTCTTTTAGCATGCCTTTGTTACGGAGTGTGATTATCAGTCTTAGTTTGGGAGCAGTATTGGCTCAAAGTTGGCCGAAACGCTCAGAAATGTCTTTGAAAAATCGTTGTGCCTGTTTTGGTCAACTTTGAGACAATACTGCTCCCAAACTAAGACTGATAATCGCATTCCGTAACAGAGGCATGCTAAAGGAAGGTCCAAAGAACAATTGCCCGTTGAGGGAGCAAAATGCCCGCCTCGGATCAGACGCAGTGGCTGCTTAAAATCGACCCAAAACATGATTTTTTAAGACATTTCTGAGCGTTTTGGCCAACTTTGAGACAATACTGCTCCCAAACTAAGACTGATAATCGCACTCCGTAACAGAGGCATGCTAAAGGAAGGTCCAAAGACCAATTGCCCGTTGAGGGAGCAAAATGCCCGCCTCGGATCAGACGCAGTGGCTGCTTAAAATCGACCCAAAACATGATTTTTTAAGACATTTCTGAGCGTTTTGGCCAACTTTGAGACAATACTGCTCCCAAACTAAGACTGATAATCGCACTCCGTAACAGAGGCATGCTAAAGGAAGGTCCAAAGACCAATTGCCCGTTGAGGGAGCAAAATGCCCGCCTCGGATCAGACGCAGTGGCATGCTAAAGGAGGGGTCCCGTGGGGTCGCGAAACTTTTCCTGGGGGTCGCGGAAATTTTTGGCTACAAATTTGGGGTCGCGAGCCGAGAAAGGTTGAGAACCGCTGGCCTAGCGTGTCACGCCAGAGCTATGACGTCCGCGCGACGTCCTCGGTGACTCGGTGACTCGCACATACACAGTGCGTCACGCCGCGTCACGCCACGTCACGCGCCCGGTCACACAGCAGTCGCCCTGCCGTCTCTCTCTCTCTCTCTCTCTCTCTCTCTCTCTCTCTCTCTCTCTCTCTCTCTCTCTCTCTCTCTCTCGGAGTGCGAGGGCGACAGAGCGACGAAGCACTCTTCGGAATCGACCTGCTGGATCTGGTGCACGTCATTCAAGGACACCGCACCCAGCAGGCAAATTCCGAGCACTGTCTCTCTCGCACCCCGGCGGGTCGCCCCATGAGTGCGAGAGAGACAGAGCGACGAAACGATCCCTCGGAATCAGGTGGCTGTCCAGGCCGTGCCCTGTTGGCCGTCATGCGAGCCGTTCCAGTCAGACGGTCAGCGTGCCACTCAGTGAGACCGCCTGAAAGTACCCGAAGGAGCGGGACCGCGCAAATTCGCTCCACTGTTGTCCAGGAGGTTTGGTCCGCTGCAGTGGCGGAGCCACGGCCGGCCCGAGGAAACGCCCAAGCTGCACTGTTTGCATACTCACAGGGGCAAAGTGTGGCACCTTTCAGGCGACCATCCAGGGTTCGTTCCCCCCCCCCCCCCC